TTTCATTATTGGATTCTGAACTTTGTTCTATTTGAATTTGGATGGATAATTGTGATGGTGCAGGCGTAGAATATATTATATCGGATCGAATCTTTGAAACTCTTCCATCCGAGGAACAGAAGCTCTGGCACACTCATGAGTACGAGGTTGCTTTCCATTTTTTCTTTGCCATCAACTCTGTTCTTGATTAATTGCCATTCTAAATTATTCAAAAACTATGAAATTGATAAAATACTTCTGGGATAAAATGCCTATTTACAAGCGAGAATATTTTGAATGTGCAGATTATATCAGGCCTTTGGGTGAACCCAGGAGTTCCAGAAATGGTGCAAAAGCCCGAACTTGAGAATCTTGCTCGTACTTATGGCAAGTTTTGGTGCACCTGGCAAGTTGATAGAGGCAAGTACTGACCCTTTATTTCCTTTTCTTATGAGAAACCATAGAGATGTCTTTTGTTTCTTTTGAATTGGTATAAGTTAACGCAACGCAACTAGAATCCATTTTTCCACGCTCTAAAGTGGTAAGACTTGTGCCGTTTTTGGCTTAAACTTGTTACTATTGCAGTTTCTTTTTAAGTTCTATACATTGATAAATGTAAAAATATTTACAAAACAATGTCTAATTACAGGTAAATTTAATATGATAAAAATTAATTACAAATGTGACAAATATACATGGTATATATAAATTAACCTACTATCACACATTACATTAATACTATAAAAATCTTACAAAACCTTATAATGCATTCAAATTTTAGATTTCAGACCACTGAAGTGTTTGTATGGTAACATAAAGGGTTGTGCTATTACTCGTATTCCTTGAAATAGTTAATTACGGTCTTATTTTGATTGATTTGAAAACACTAAAGGACAACTATTTTACTGTGCGTTTTGTGAACAAAAACATTTGGTACAACAATAATAGCTTGTTGTAACAACCAAAAAATAAACTAATAATTGCATGAGATAGAAATTATGTCATTTGTACGTGGTCGTTCAGGTGATAGGGTTCCACTTGGAGCACCTGCGTTGATGATGTCTCCACAAGGTGTGAACCTAGGGATGGTGGCACCAGAGCTAGTGAAGAAAAGAGACGAAAGATATGGTATTTCTTCACAGGAACTGGAAAAGACAAGAATGGATATTGCTGGGCCAGAGACCAT